GCTAACTTTCCTCATCGGTTACAGGCACAACCTCATCGCAACGCTTGTAATGACTTGGACAGGTCACATCGTGTTTCATAACCGCACTCAGGCGTGTGTGACCGGGTGCAGGTCGGGTTAGCAGTGCGGATCCAGATCACACACCTGGACATAATCGTGGCTCAGTCAGAAATCTCTCGCAACACAAAAATATACGTGTTTAAAACGAGACCATTCGTGTCTTATGAGCTTTCTGTCCACAGGAATAATGCGTCTTATTCTTCGACACAGAGAGCGACCGGATGAGATGAAGAGATGATGAATGATGGTGAAAAGAGCAGCTTCTTCAGCCGCCCACACATGTTGTGTAACATGGAGTGTGTTCGAGTGTGTTCAAGTGCTGGCAGGATTCTGCGGTATTTTCCATTGGACGTGTGTGACACACACACACACACACACACACACATGCCTTCACCTATAATTCCCTGCAGTTTCCAGATGAAGCGGACACTAGAGAGGCATTAAAACACCTATAACTTCTGTTGCTTTTTACATAAATTATATATATCATGATTACAGAGGCAGATTATGCCTTAAAAAGACTGTTATGAGCTCAAAACACTTGCCCATAGTGTAGGATTTGTAAAGTAATATATTTTGAGGTTTGCATCACAGAAGATGCTCCATGTGTGTGTGTGTGTAGACTATCTTCCTATAAACCTCAGCATTTGCGTTGGCATCGGACAGCATTTGTTTCATGGCTGCAATCGCTTAAAGGGTTAGTTCACCCAAAAATGAAAATTCTGTCAGTATTTCCTCGCCCTCATGTTGTTCCAACCCCGTAAGACCTTCGTTCATCTTCGCAACACAAATTAAGATATTTAAGATATTAAGATCGCTCCTGCATACGGTCCGTAGGCTTCTTGAGGGAATGACTCTTGCTGGCATCGAAAAGTCATTAAAGACTAAAATAGTCCAAGTGACTACAGGGGCTCAATCTTAAGTTTATCAAACGACGAGAACACTTTTGTGCGCAAAAACAACAAAAATAACGACTTTGGATGGACCCAGATTTATTATTCTTAGAAATATTCTAACATTAAGTGTCATTCGCTCAGTTATCACATTTTTAATGGAAATATGACATTGTTTGAGATGTCTTGACATAAACCAATACATCATAACCTGTCAGTGTCTTTGTCATGACAACTTGACATTACTAAGACGACACAACCTGTCATAAACATGACATAGCAGATTAATGATCAAACTTAAGAAAGCACCTAGCTTTATTGGTTAACATTATACTCAACTGTCAGGCGGTTGGTTTTGACATTGGCTGTCATGAAGCCATTATAACTCTTTAATGACAAACTCAATTAGTACCACTGTAGTTGAGGACACGGATATATTCATGACACAGTAATAATGCCTCATGACAGCCAATGTCAAAGCCAACCACATGACAGATTAACTTCATTTAATGACAAGGTGTCATAACAAAGACATCTTAAACAATGTCATATTTGCATTCAAAATGTCACAGTTGTCATAAACATGCATACTTCATATTCAATACATATGTCATGTCATGGTTATGAAGATGTCATGTTAGTCGTATGCACACCCCTTCAAGTAAAGTGTTACCATAAATGGCTTCCATTGGTTATTTAGCTTGTATATTTATCACACTGTTGTTATTTCAGGTCGTGCGGCTCTAGCAGGCCTTCCCTCTCCCGCTCTCCTTGGCGTCTATGATTTTATAGCATACATTAAAGGTGCCATCTGACATAATAAATCAAATCCTACTCCATATTCCATAACAGATGGGGGCAGTATACCTCCAGAAAATGAGTTGTGCTCCTACCATCGCGCATGTTATTCAAATCATTTGACACGATAGTAAAAGGTCGGAAGACCGCAGTTTCACGTGGAGCATTTGGAGATTTTTAGAGATCAGAGACTCAATGAACAACATCTCAACACTAAATGATGAAGACCGCCTCATCGACGCCTGTATAAAACACAAGCGGTGCATTTCGACGATATGGGAAAATAAAAGCTTCGGCAATTATTTGAAGTCTATGGTATTCATTTTGTTCATATTACACTTTTACAGACAGCATTCGCTGATGTTGATCGAGCTAGCGCCATTCAGAGCTGCCAACTCTTAACGAATTCACCGTGAGACACACGCAATTGACACTTAGCAAGCAGGTTAGTTAAGCTCTTGGATTCTGTTAATTTTATTACGCAATTCAAAGAATAAATACCGTTTTGGCGCTTGTACATGTTACACCACAGATCCCTAGCGCACGTGATCCGATCGTCTCTACTAGCTAATGGAAAAAGAACCCGAACACTGTTGAAAGATATATTACAACTTACCAAAATGTATTCCTCATGCATAATGTCGACCAGTCATTTTTTTTAACTCTTCCCTGAACTGAAATGTAGTAATGGGCTGTATTTCCACACGACTGACATCAGGTTCAAGTACACACAAGCCGGCGCGAGCACGACTCACTCGTGTACTGCAGTTTGGCTGGTGGTAACGTTGCCCCCCCGCATACCGCCTCCTATGGCCAGAACTGGTATTACGACACCTGCCGGGCCGGGGCTAGTAATTTAGCATGCTAATTTAGGTGTATATCTCGGCAGCACTATAACTTGTCAGTTTTTTAATGACATCATTGCACTTATTTCTTCTCATTCTTTTGATGCGTGTAGCTCATTTTTTAGATATTTTTACCTCAATTAATGATCATATTGATCTTTATATTTCCACAAACATTTCAGCCCAGACCATTTGGGAGGCGACGCGTGTTTAAGGTTTATTTAAGGGGAGAAATCGTTTCATGGCAAGGTTGCAACCCTCAAAGACACTAGCTTGGCATCAATCAATTTATTCTTCAGCAGACGCTCTTATCCAAAGCAATCGGATGAAGATAAATGACAATATGCCACTTGTATAGACCATTTCACAAGATGTAAACAACACTGGTCCAGAAGCACTTCCTGTTTCATTTTTTTAACACTACATAAAAGCTGGGATGAAATACAACCAACAGAACATTTAAAACTGAATCAAAAAGTTAAACAAACATCTTTAAAATGTTTTCTCTGCATGTGAAATAAAGAAAACAGTTACAAACTGAAACAGGAAGTGTTTCTGGACCAGTGTTGTTTACATCTTGTGAAATGGTTAGGGTTAGGTCTTACGGGGTTGGTACAGCATGGGGGGTGAGTAATTAATGACTTAATTTTCATTTTTGGGTGAACTAACCCTTTAAATCAAGCGCTGGACACGCAGACGCCCTGGCCCGGCTGAGCTCGACCCGTAGGACAGCTTCGGGACGAGTAACAGCGGAGACGGAGAGCTTCAGTGCCGGACAATCCCCATAAACACACTCCTAACCCTTGAGGAAACCCTTCCCAGAAGAGTTATAGCTATAAAGGGTGGACCAACTCCACATTAAACCCTCCTCATTAAAGTTCGTGTGCATGTAAAGGCAGGCGTCCCAAAACATAATATATGCAGTTATTCAGTGTCACGAATCCCATCTCCAGAATCAGATCCACATTACACTGACTCTCCTGCAGTGACTCAGGCAGAAGGAAGGCTCCAGAATCTGTCTCTGGCCCAGTTCTGCTCGTGTGTGTGTGTGTGTGTGCGGAAGAGCTGTGGAGAACGAGGTTTGAGGTTTTCAGAAGCTGCTGCTTGACTCGGTTTATATGATGAGTAAATCAATGACACGGACTCACTAACGGTTAATTAACCCCGTGTTCCTGCTGCATAGCTTGTTTTACAGTATTTCGAGAGTTAAGTCTCGTTAAGTAGTTATTTTTGCACTCGACGTGAATCATGTTTTATACGCGCCTTTAGCTTTAATTAGCACTGCTTTCCTTTGGTCTATGAGTGTGGTGAATGAAGCGTGTGAAGGTGTTCATAGTAAGAGTTCGTCTCTCACTGGACTCGCAGAGATAAGCACGCCTGTGTAGATTAGACAAATAATCACACGGCAGCGGGAAATCATGCAGATTTACAACAATAAAACCCTTTCCCTGAGGAACCAACGACTGAAGCTGAGCTGATCCCTCGAGCGCGCGCAAACTCAACCTGCATTTCTGAACGCAAACTGTACCTCTTTTACGTATGATACCAGTTTTGATGATAAAAGTATAATTCAGCACATGATGTGCACAAGCTGTGTAAGGCTCACTTACCTTCAGTAAACCAGTACGCGTCCACAGCTCAGTGTTCTGTTCTGGTTGTGTTCCTGTGTTCATTTCCCGCCTCGTGTGTCTGTTACCATAGCAACCTACTGTGCACACCTGCTCCTGTTTAAGTAAATCACTCATCTAGTAAGAGCTGTTCTCTATCCTTCAGTTTCCTATAATCATAGTTAACCCGGGGCAAAGTATTCCCCTTTTCTTTTTGTTTACCGTCCTCTTCTAGTGATCAACTCAAACACGTCTTTCATTTTTCCCAAATAATAATCATATCCTCTCTCTAGGTCCTTAAATGGACTCCACTCTTTAAATCTCTATTCCAAGACTTGTTGCTGATTTTCAGGGCTTCCTTTTACTGTACTTGTAATTAAAGGTGAAACTAGTAGAACTATGATATTCTATTGTATACTTTTATGAATTCTATTGAGAAACTATGAGACAAATGTGAATAAAGACAATGTTCAGAGAAGATGAATTATTGTTTTGACCTGTGCTGTATAGCTGCGTTTTCCAGTGTGTGTTAAATTGTCATTATTTTATATGAAAAAGTTCTTGAGAACATTTCTAGTTTGTCTTGTATAATTTTTGATCAGATCAAGTAACATGTTCATCTGTCATATGGTCATGTTATAATATCACATTCACTCAGGATATTAATGAAGCAAAAGCACATGTAGTGGACGATAATAAACCCTCTGAACCCGAAGCTTGTGGCCGCTCTGCTCCACTCACTCACGCTCTTAGCGGGGTTTATGGGAAGGACCGAATGAACACCAAACCAGCCTGAGTAACCAAAAAATAATTCAATATTTATTTGCAGTACAAACAAGTCTTGTATTGGTTTTCATATACTATACAATACATACGGACAATTTTATCTCCTTCATAAACCAGAAAGTTGAACTGCCCGGTTCCCCAGCCCAGTATTATACACACACACACACATATATATATATATAGATTGTATCTTTTAAAAAAATGTTTACAGCACATATAAAACAGCTCTCTGACATTAGAAGCCGTCACACGATGCCGACGCATTGTCAAATAAAAATCCCTGAAAAATTCCTCGGTGAGGTAAGAGACACGTTTCCATATCCGCTGCGCGCCGTCCTCTCCGTCCCACAGTACCGCGCGTGGCGACGGGAAGTGTGTTCTGGCCACATACGCACACACACACTCTCCTCCACAGAAGCAGCTTGAAGATGAACGGCGATAAAGAAGCCGACACTGGCTTTCAGCGCGAGCGCGAGCGAGTCGTCCGCGACATACGAACGGGACGGTGGTTGCATATCTGCACAAGATTAATACTACATTTACATATATATATTGAGATATATGAAAAGGCCACGGGAGTCAGTAAACAGCACGTGTATATTACGGGGCAAATCGAATCGGAGGAAGCGTGCACCCAGTAGCCAGTGTGTGATGTCACTTCCTGTGAAGCCCAGGCCAAACGCTGCTCGCTTCAAGCTAATCTCCGTGGATCGCTAGTCTCAAAAGTACAAGTCAAAACCCCAGGCCATTTCTTCTAGAAAATACTGCAGAGGGTTGTTGAGTATATTGCAGAGTAACGAACATAACCTCGACCGACCCGTTAAAGACCGTTAGTCGTCTATTATTATTACTACTACGTATCGGTTTCTTTAAAAATGAACTTTTTAATACAACGATTTCTAAAGTGAGATACAAAGAGTATTGAACAGTCAGAGTAGGAAAGAATTAAAAAGGTTATATAAGGCCAGCTTAAAGCAACCCTGTTAACTCGAGCACTCGTGTTCATCCGCTAGTCCTCGCTAACGCTCGAGAGGATCGCATGCACAACACATCGAGCGAACACATACTTCAGAAATTAATACAATATATTTATACTGTAATGAGAATCACCAAGGCCTCGTAGAGTCGTGTCTCACACACAAACGCGGTTTAATGAACAATGAGCTTTAAGTGTGTGTCGTCCTCGTCGCAGCCTAGGACTGGCAGGAACGCTCTGTGTGTGTGTGTGTGTGTGTGTGTGTGTGTGTGTGGAGTACCGCTTTTAAGTGCCAAGAAGTGAAAGGCTTCACCACTGTGCAAAACGCATTAGGTCATTGCAAATGTAGAGCGAGGGAAATAAAGAGGGGGATGTGTGTTTGTGTCGGTTCTGTCACGACTTTCAACAACGTCTGCGAGGGAATATACAGATGTGGAAACTGAGTGTATTGTGCACCTCTATTGAAGCCACTTGGGTCTGAGCTTGGAGAAAGATCACCAATACATCCCCGTCCGGGCAGAAAACAGGAACCCCAGCCGGCAGGACGCCAGGCTTCGGGCCCAGAGGCCGAGCACGTCCACTTCCTCCCGCTAGCGTCTGCTCGTGTCGCGCGTTAAACAACAGTCTGTTCCATAAAGGCAAGAAGAGCTGCACTGAGATCCGCCGGAGCGGAGTGTGCCGACCCCGGCTCTAAACTCATCCGCCGACCCGCGGCCCCCCCGCCGGCTCATGTGGACTCCAGCGGGTCCAGCTGGAACAGGTTGTGATTGGTCGGCGTGGTGAAGAACAGCTGGTCATTGGTCGATCGGTTGTCACACGGGCTGTTGAGGCCCAGCGTCCTCTCGAAGTCCAGGAGCTGCCCCATGAAGTTGAAGTTGGGCGAGATGTTGGACTTCTTGCGCTTGACGAAGTCGTAGGCGTCGTTGAGCGACAGGTTGAGCTTCTGCATGAGATACGCCACCGTGACGGTCACCGAGCGGCTGATGCCCGCCAGGCAGTGCACCAGGATCCCACACTTTTTGGAACGAGCTTCATCTGAGGAGCAGAAGAACAAAGAGTGAGCCGTGAGCGCAGGACGAGCACAACGGAAGCACACACACACACACACACACACACACACACCCACTACATCTATCCATCACTCTCTTTCTCTCTCTCTCTCTCACACACACACACACACACACAAACAAACACAAACACACACACACTAAATCTACCCATCACTCTCTCACACTCACACACACACACACACTAAATCTACCCATCACTCTCTCTCTCACACACACACACACACACAAATCTACCCATCACTCTCTTTCTCTCACACACACACACACACACACACACACAAACCATCTCACTCACACACACACACACACAAACCATCTCACTCACACACACACACACACACAAACCAGACCCATAATCCTACCATTCTCACTCTCACACACACACACACCCTAAAACTATCCGTCACTCACTCACACACACATTCTGAATCTCTATTTGCCATCATTCCCTGCTGTTCTTTCATCAACATATATCAGATATTGTCTAATATTGGCCAGCACATTGATCTGACATCGCTTAGCTTTTATCTAAATCATCATCACTAACACACACACACACACACACGAGTGTCTCGCTAGCCTGTTAACCTGCCATCTGTGATTGTCGTGTCTCTCTCTCTCTCTCTCTCTCTCTCAGTCAGACGGTGAGTAATGTCGTCTCCTCGATGTGCTGAGTCCGGCAGAACGCTGGCTAACCCAGACCATTACATTACGCTAAACCTAGAATACGGTCTAACGCCAAGGGCTGCTCTGTCAAGTCTTCAGCGTCGGTTAGGAACCTGCGTGTGTGTGTGTCTGTGTGTGTGTGTGTGTGTGCTCTTTGATAGCAAATCTTTCATCTGAAAGTCATGTGTCTAGTATCTGTAGAACCGCATTTTTCCATCTTAAAAATATATCTAAATTACACCATATTTAGATATTACGCCACATGTATATTACGGGGCAAATCGAGTCGGGGGAAATGCACACCCAGTAGCCAGTGTGTGATGTCACTTCCTGTGAAGCCATATGCTCTCATTGACGAATGCGGGACAGTTAGTTGATGCGTTCATGACATCAAGGCTAGATGACTGTAATGCTCTACTGGGTGTTTGTCCTGCACGCTTAATAAACAAACTCCAGCTCGTCCAAAACGCAGCCGCTCCAGTTCTTATCAGAACCAGGAAGATTGACCATATTAGCCCGCTTCTGTCATTGGCTGCCTATTAAACGTCGTAAACATTTTAACATATTGCTGATTACTTATAAAGCACTGAATGGTTTATCTCCAGTACTTGAGCGAGCTCTTAACGCATTATAGTCCTTCACGACTATCGCGATCTCTAAACTCCGGCCAGTTGATAATACCGAGAACATCAGGATATGGATCCAGCGTATGCGATCATATTACTCCAGCTGTGGAGTCCTTACACTCGCTCCAGATTATGATGCTGACATATAAAGCATTGGATGGCCGGCCGGCTCATTTTTATTTATCTGAATTGTTAATTTCATATTCCCCAAATCAGAGGCTTGGATCTTCACAATCCCGTTGGTTGTTGCTCACACACTGTATGGGTGACGGGCTTTCTCTTCGTGTGCTCCTGTCCTACAGACTCTCGGCCTCCTGACCTTGCAGAACCAGGACGTTTTTAAAGGCGGACTTAAGACATAGATTTTTTTAATCAGCTAACACTGTCCGGGAAGCAGACACACTCTGTCAGTTCAAAGTTAAACTAAACACACATCTCTTTGGCCTAGCACACACACACACACACACCATAGACTTCTAACTGAACCGAATGCAGAACATCTGTGAAGAAGCCTGAAGACAAACGCCGGGACACAGTTAAAAACAGCACAACCGTGTCTCCAGCTGGACTATCGTTCAGATAAAACTGACAAAAACCCCCATGATCCTGCGTGACCACACTTTTACAACATCTCATTGGGTCGCGTGCATCATGTGACTTTACATCATGTCATCACACAATGAGGTTTGATGTTCTGGAGGTGTGGCCGTGATTACACACGAGTTGATCAACGTTTCGGTAATTTGAGCGTGAAAGTCATCAGATAAAGTGCTCGTATCTCTTCAGAACCACTAGAGTTGTCCAGGTACTTTGTTCAGGTCGCTCGAAGCGTTCACGCCACGGACCGGAACCGAACAGACAAACAGTCGTACAGGACATACTAGTTCTGCAGAAGAGCGCGCGCGGGTTTGAGGACATGAACGATCCCTTAAAGGGACGGGCCTGATGAGTGTCTGCGGACACCGAGCCAGAGCAATCCTGTGGGAAGACCAGACACTCGTTTGGGAAATAATTCGCTTTTTTTATGGAATGAGAAATAAAACTCAGTTTCAGTGAGAGATATTGGAGAAATCAGTGCAGAAATAAACAAATCAAATAAATAAATACATTCAAATAAGAAAAAGAGTGAATAAACACATGCAACAAGTACTAAAATTAAATATTTTCAATATTTTGACATTATTAGTAGGATTTTTTTCACAGTATAGATTGGGTCTGTATACCAGGGTTATTATCGTTAACTAAAACTACTAAAACACTTCTGCTAATTGAAATAAAGCTGAATAAAGTTCAAATGAAAATGAGAAATGTTGCCACTGCCATAAGCTAAAATATGTTTAAGTTGAGGCACTAAATTTATTAGCCAGATTTAAAAAAAACTAACACTGAAATAAAAATAATTAAACCTAAAACTAATAGAAAATATTATTATTATTATTAATAATCATTTGTAAAAATTAAACTAAAATTAACATGAAAACTATATATATATATAGCTCATTCAAAACATGAGGGATACTGTGAAAAAAACGTAAAACACTGAAATTGTTTGTCTGTTTGTTTGTTTGTTTATTTATTTATTTGTCTGTCATCTCTCGCGCGAGTCAGATATTTGTGGATCTGAACTGAAGTGAGGTCACTTCCTGCAGAACCACTGGAAGGTTTTAAGCTTCGACTGCTTCACTAAATCACACCGCTGACCTCTTTAGCTTATGCTGCCTTTCTTCTAAACAGGAAGTTTCTTTCAGCAGGACTTCCTGATCTTCGCAGGCTCATGGAGAGCATGTTTACACAGCTAAAGTGAAAGTGTTCAAAAGGAGCAACAGCACAACAGGATGTCGTGAATCGTGAGTTTAGTGCACGAGTTTAACCTTCGCTTCCAACACAAACATATTTACATTTCATGATTATTTCACCCGATCATAAATCTTCTGTCATCACGTTCTCATCCTCAAGCTGAACATCAGATCTGTGTGAGTGAACAGTCCCTGTTAACACGCCTGTCAAATCAACGATCGTATAAAAGCGGCCGAAACAAGCTCGACAGGTTCCAGTTCGAGGCGTGTGAATGTGACAAATGTGAATCGGAAACAATTCCAATACCCGAGGTGTAGAAGCGTTCACAGCCAATCAGAATCAAGCTTGCTCATTTAATGCGGCAGATGACTGCAGCGCTTGTAATAAAGAGAGCGATATCGTGCGCTGGTGTGACGCTTTATATTTGCTGTTCTGGGTGTGAACAAGCCTTAAAGCTGTACAGTTCAGAATTACAATAAAAATAAAAAAGAAACACTTAAAGTCATGCTCAAATTAGAGCCGCTCAGGGAAGAGCGCTTGAGGCCTTCCTTTACATCTTTAAAGCAGAAGAGCACACTCTCACACAGCACTGGACGGAAGTTCAGAGTCTTTGTCATGCAGATAACCTCAGTCTAGATGTTTTAGGAAGTTACTAGAAAAGTGTCAAACCGCAGAACACACGTGTGGCTTCACCTGAAAACACCGACATCGAAACACAAGAGAAACTAGAACCGCTGAACATCCTCGTTCATCTGGAGTCAAGCTTTCAGCTCACTTTATAACGGCTATGTTGAAGAGTTCTCCTTCCTGTCTCTCTCTCTGTGTGTGTGTGTTTCATGGTTCATCTGATCTGTCTGACATGGATCACGTCTGAATCCATCAGATCTTACTCTGCTCCAGTAATGTTGAGCTCTTACTTCACCCTCGGAAAGCTTGTCGAGCTCATTTGATTGAGAAAACCCTGATTATGCGTTATACAGACGTGTGTGTTCATGCAAATGCATCAACCTGAACGGCTCACGCATAAACCACTTGACACAGCTAGATTTATACCTTCTCTCACATGTAAAAACTCATTAACCTGCATTCTATGGCTTATTGAAGTGTGTGTGTGTGTGTGTGTGTGTGTGTGTGTGAGAAACGTGACAGGAAAGCGCCTTTACCGCGACTGAAGCGCATCCAGAGAGAGCCAGCGTTTCACGGCAGGAAATACAGCGCAAACTACGACCCAATATGTGATGCACATGTGTTCTGAAAGAAGCGGTTCAGTCAAAACACTGCTTAATTATTCCAAATATCACAAATCTCTCATGAATGGACACATGAAGGACTAGGTTTTGGCGTATACTGATTTATGGAGAATGTCTTGTCAGCGTGTGGTTCACACTTGCACTACCAGGTTGTTGGTTTGCCTGTACACCAGGTCGGCCAGTTCTCAGTGTGAATGTAAACGTGCTCGATGACCGTCTGGTTTACAGAGTCTGTTCTTCATGTAGAGCACAGGTGTGTGAATCTGACCCATCAAAGGGACTAATGAATTAAAGGAAAAGAGTGAGGGATTGTCCTAAACTTCACAAACACATCCTGAGGTCACAGCCAGTCTTCAGACACACGATGAAACTAATATCTGAAGGACATGAGCGTTAAACTTCTGAAAGGAAACTTACCTATGAAAGAAATGGCTTCAGGGAAAAACTGAGAAAGGTTTTGGCTCCAGTGATCCGAGATGGGAATCTGTTTGTACTTGAATTCCCCGTCGTGTTCGAACATGTTGGGCAGGTTGGGAGTCACGTTCAAGATGTACTTGATGTTGTACTTGCCCAGAACGTCCAAGTTGGTGGAGTCTTTGGCACAGCCCAGGTAGAGATACGGCAAGATCTGGACTGGGAACGCTGGCTGGTTACTGGGTATCGGGCTTCCCTCGGACTCTGTAGCGCTGCCCGGCTCGCGGTCCGACTCCCCGTCAGAACAGTCGGAGCTGATCCGGAGTCCACCCAGACCCAGAACGGAGGAGGGCGGAGAACTGCTGGGACACGAACAGTCCAAGCTTGTCTCGCAGTGCTCCGGGTACTCCGTCTGAAACTTGTTAAATCCTCCTAGAACAAGCCAGATAACACACGATTATCAGTCAGAGTGATAAATCGGCTATAACGGATCAGTCAGAGTGATAAATCGGCTATAACGGATCAGTCAGAGTGATAAATCGGCTATAACGGATCAGTCAGAGTGATAAATCAGCTATAACGGATCAGTCAGAGTGATAAATCGGCTATAAAGGATCAGTCAGAGTGATAAATCGGCTATAACGGATCAGTCAGAGTGATAAATCGGCTATAACGGATCAGAGTGATAAATCGGCTATAACGGATCAGTCAGAGTGATAAATCAGCTATAACGGATCAGTCAGAGTGATAAATCGGCTATAACGGATCAGTCAGAGTGATAAATCAGCTATAACGGATCAGTCAGAGTGATAAATCAGCTATAACGGATCAGTCAGAGTGATAAATCAGCTATAACGGATCAGTCAGAGTGATAAATCGGCTATAACGGATCAGTCAGAGTGATAAATCGGCTATAACGGATCAGTCAGAGTGATAAATCGGCTATAACGGATCAGAGTGATAAATCGGCTATAACGGATCAGTCAGAGTGATAAATCAGCTATAACGGATCAGTCAGAGTGATAAATCGGCTATAACGGATCAGTCAGAGTGATAAATCAGCTATAACGGATCAGTCAGAGTGATAAATCAGCTATAACGGATCAGTCAGAGTGATAAATCAGCTATAACGGATCAGTCAGAGTGATAAATCAGCTATAACGGATCAGTCAGAGTGATAAATCGGCTATAACGGATCAGTCAGAGTGATAAATCGGCTATAACGGATCAGTCAGAGTAATAAATCAGCTATAACGGATCAGTCAGAGTAATAAATCAGCTATAACGGATCAGTCAGAGTGATAAATCAGCTATAACGGATCAGTCAGAGTGATAAATCGGCTATAACGGATCAGTCAGAGTTATAAATCGGCTATAACGGATCAGTCAGAGTGATAAATCGGCTATAACGGATCAGTCAGAGTGATAAATCAGCTATAACGGATCAGAGTGATAAATCGGTTATAACGGATCAGTCAGAGTGATAAATCAGCTATAACGGATCAGTCAGAGTGATAAATCAGCTATAACGGATCAGTCAGAGTGATAAATCAGCTATAACGGATCAGTCAGAGTGATAAATCGGCTATAACGGATCAGTCAGAGTGATAAATCGGCTATAACGGATCAGTCAGAGTGATAAATCAGCTATAACGGATCAGTCAGAGTGCTAAATCAGCTATAACGGATCAGTCAGAGTGATAAATCAGCTATAACGGATCAGTAAGAGTGGTAAATCAGCTAAAAATGGATCAGAGTGATAAATCAGCTATTACAGATCAGACAGAGTGATAAATCTGAATAAATAAACACTCAAACAAGGGCAAGGTGTTCTAACGATCCATACAATGTTTTTAAAATACAAATTTTAGTATACTAAAATAATAATATGTAAATAACTAATACTAACATAAGTCTTGTAATTACTAGTAATCCAAATAGCCACAAGCATCTAATATATTATGTGCTCCAATTGTTATTAGTTACAGCAAAAGTCACTAGACATGCTGAGTGACTAGTCATTATACAAAACACCAGTGAGATAAGAAGTGTTCCCAGTAAAGCTAATGGCTGGAGTGTAAATAGCTAAAGGGTTAGTTCACCCAAAAAAATGATCATTCTCTAATCCTTTACTCATTCTAAACCTCTATGACTAGTTTTTTTTTTTTTTTGGTGACCATTGACTTCCACTTTATAGACCAAAAAGAAAAAAAGAAAAAAAAAAAAAAAAAAAAGCCTGAGACATTTTTCAAAACAACATCTTTTGTTATCCAGTCAGTCATTCGGGTTTGTAAATGAACTATTTATGTTTGAACTGCTCCTTTAATATCTACAGACCATCATTAAACTCAAATGGCAAAAAAATAACAATGGAATAGTACTTGGCAGTGACATAGACACTCGATGTGTATTTAGAAGCAAAGGAATTAATACTAGTATATTAATAAGCACCAACGAAACTAGTGAAAAAGATACTATTTCCAATAAATAAATCCGAGTAAACAGATTAATATTCTAACGGATTGTGTTCAACTCTTGGTCACATGGTGAAGATCATGACTGACACTCGATGTGTATTTTGTGAATGGTGGCGAAACCGAGAATTACACAGTCAAACTCCATTTCCACGACAAAACGATCGACGTGTCCGTATATTTGCACAAAATATCGAATAGAACGTGTTTATTTATCAAAAAGAGTCGAACAGCGTCGTGATTCTGTCTTTTTGGCCGTTCATTCATAAATCGCTCGTTTTCCTTCAGAAAGACAACATGGCGGAGCCATTTTAGGCAATTAATTGAAAACATCTTTGTTTCTCTTTTTTAAGGGTTGTAGTCAAAACACACAGAGAAAGACAAAAAAGATAACGTACACATTAGCTATTTTGAGAGCAGTGAGTTTGTACAAAATGCCTGTCAGACATGAAAGATTTCACGAAGCGAGCGCGCGGATGTATTCGTCTAATGTAAACGAACTTTTTCTCCGTTTAAAAGCAGAAGAGCGCGGATTTCAGCGGAGAGGGGCGATTTAATCCATTTCTCTCACACACACACACGCGCGCGCGCAGACAAAGCGTTTTGAGCTCTTAAAAAAGTTTTGAATGGCAAATAAACTCCTTGCCTTCCAGGTAATAGGCGTTGCACCCGTCGTCGCGGAGCTTGTGCATGAGGAGCCCGATCACGGAGCCCGAGGTGCCGCTCTCCGGCCAGTCCGCGGTCGCCTCGTCGTACAGAAGAACCGTGTCCGTCTTACAGCGCCGCACGAACTTCTCCTGGTCCTCGTTGTTGGGGATGATGGATCGGATGGGCAGGTTGCCCTTCTTCAGTCTCCTCAGCATGAGCCCCGGGATGGCCAGGTTGATGGCGGACTCGATGTGCGCGGACTCGAAGAGCTCGTGTGTGCGGCAGTCGAGCAGCAGAAGCGCCCCGCCGGACTCCAGCTCATCCTGAAGCCATTCCGCGCTCTTGCTCGACATCATCATGATCACGCCGCTCCAGAGAGAGTGTTTCATGGGGGAGAACGGGCGAGGCTGCTGTGTGCGACAGAACGGGGGGAACGCGGCAGGGCGATCCGTCAGACGCGGCTCATGATCGCGATCCCTCCGCTCGCCTGGATCTCTTCTTCTGATGGCTGTTTGACAGGCTGCATTAAAGCAGCGCGTCATCACGCGAGGGGGAGGAGTCTGTGCTGGAAGGTTTAAAGACGCAGCGCCTCTTATTTTCCCTCGCAAAATAATGACGCAGTTAACTCTTTCCCCGCCAGCATTCTGGACTATTTTTGTCGATATATTTCTTTCAATATATAAAAAGAAAAAGCACAGAGCCTTTGCTTTCATTCATTCATTCTAGCTTCATTCATTCTTTTTTTTAACCAAAACAAAAATGTAATCTTTTTAGCTTTTAGTATGAATTTGTTAGCCTTAATGTAATGAATAAGCTGGTGTGTTTTAAAACATTGATAAAATTATCATTTAGGAGATTGTGGGATTCAACTGGTCTGCACTATAGGCTTTATTTAATTTAGCTTTGAATTACATAATACAGTTTATTAACACTTCAAGACAACTTTAAGTTGTCGACAATTGGAAATTTACTTTAAAAACTACGGCATTTTCGTCTGACAGAGTAGGGAATTAACATCGCTGGATTTTAACTTGACGAACGGTGAGTACTGACATCTTTGCGCGGTTAAACAACATTCCTTCTGATGTTCATTCATGTTTATCTGCTGCTGTAGATTACCAAGCAGGACAAGACGATCGGTTCACGGTGAACTGAGGCCCTGCAGACTAGATCTGTCAGACACATTAAAGAGACACAAAACACTATTTATTGTTTCAATTTTAAATGATCAAATTTGAAGGTTGAGACCGTTTCATATCAACAGTAACGTGCTCTGTCCTCTCCTAACCCTGTAACGTCCACGTTCTTCAGTTCTTAACCCGAGTCCTAGCCAGTTACCGTTTCAAATACTGTCCATCAGGCAGATGAAACTCGCACACACACTCGGATCAGGGAAAGGCCTCCAGATGCACACACACACACACACACACACACTGAACCAGCAGAGAGGGGTGTGTAATTAAAGGCCTGATTATCTGGAAGTGTGAGGCTTGGTCCCGTCCGGCACAGACTCGAGCCCCAGACAGGAAGGAAAAGAGTGTGTGTGTGTGTGTGTGCGCGCATGTGTGTGTGTGCGTGTCCACCAGTGTTACGCTTTAGTGGGCCTGTTCACAGCTCGGCTGAACTACAGATAGGAAAACATCCCAGCATACACACACTCATTCAGTCTGCAGACGGGTGATTTGGAAATTAATTATTTTGTTTCTTTTGACTGTTATTAATTGTTATTATTTTTTATTATTTTGACTGTTTTGAGGAGTGAACGACATTTTTTTTAGATTAAACTACATTAAAACATAATGATGTTAATGAGCTCCACAGGCCCTGAAAGCCCCGCCCCCAAGCTCACGCTATTGGCTGAGTCGTATTTACATGATTCAGGGAAATCAACCAATGAATGAATAGTCAGCACGGCCCTGACACTCCATAATAAACGTTACACATTAGCAGCTGATACTATATAATACAGTAATATATGAAAGAAGAACAGTAAGCAGCACCATGCATTAAAAACACATTTACTGGCATTTTAATGGACAAAATAATAAAAATAATTGCTTAGTTACAGCGTGAAATGAGACAGTATGATTAAAAATAGCAAACATGAAGAAAACAAACGTTTGAACGTTCAGGACTAACATGCTGTTTGGCTAATGCTAATGCTAGTCAAGGAAGAAAGCTTCATGTTTTGATTTCTTCTCAGATTTCAGGTTCAGTTTGTGGTTTTGAGGATGGATTACAGTAGAGCCGAGGCTTATTCCACACTCAGCACACACACACACACACACACACACACACACTGCAGAACATCCTCCGGCCTGCAGAGATGGATCGTGACGGCTGTTATCGCTGTGGATCAGGGCGCTGCTCTGCGATCTGGCACTGGTTCTGCACACACTCCTGCAGTTTGTCCTCGGTCAGAGTCAGACGCTGCTCTAGAATGGCCACAGTCTACAAAACAAGAGCAGGACCGCCATGAGATCCACTGAGTGAGTTATAACCAGTTATAATTCAATTCACATGATAACAGGTTTTTTTACGTTGAAAAAGCATAAGCTAGCGCTCAGTGGGGTGTAAGAGATGGTAATCTCCTTGATGTAGTGTGTGTGTGGAGAACTGGAGCGGTCCGAGCACGGATCCCTGAGGAACTCCTGACTCTGGATTCCTCTAACCAATTACCCAACATCCTTATGGATCCACATGGAGCAGTACGGTGCATCAGATACAAATCGACATGTATTATTAGGTTGCCCCATTATTGTGGCATCTCAGTCGACTGTCCTCCACATCTCAGTCAAATCACGCGTTCTCTTTAAACGGGACATCGAGAAACCAGCAAACCCGTCAGCTTTCCATTCTGACTCTGAAATAAGCTTTTCACGCGATTCATGCGAACACAAGATTGTTATGCGTTTGGGGGTGTTTGTTTATGATTGTATCTCTGAATGTATGTCTCGTTTATTAGCACTGCTTCTGTGTAACAGCGCCACCTACTGTCCGAGAGTGAAGTGCATTTCTGTTTCGTTTTACGCAGTGTTTTAAATCTTAAAGACGTATCTTTTCCACCTGTACACACTCAGAATGAGCAGGTTTCACATGCGCTTTGAATTCTTGCACTAATTCATTAGTCTGCAGGGTAGTGGGTAGTCCAAGAAAGAAGTGCATGAAGGGAAAAGAGAAACACTGTGGATGTGTGTGAACAGTAAGATCAGGCCTGTACTGGGAGCCAGTATGGGAAACAGTGGAGGACAAACACACACATTGATGCACTGGTGTGGAGGCGCGGTGACATCATACTGTGGAGAAGCAGTGAGTGTGTGTGTGTGTGTTTCTGCAGATGGTTCCAATAAAGCAGGAGGAAACCTATAGTATGTTTCCACAGTACAATAATCTCTCGATGTCGAACGAGCTAGCAGAGTCAAGGTCATGTCACGACGAATCACATTTTCCTCATGCCTTGATAATGTTCTATACAAAGCTGAGAGCAAATCATAATAGTGGGTATTTATAATAAAGTCAAGGAGGCAGGTGGCATTAAAACATGTATACAGTAAAAAAACATGCATCATTGTTTGAGAAGCAAATGTTTTAAAGTAGCTTCCCAATACTGAGATACGAGAACAGAAGTGAAGCAACAAAAAAATGCAGTAGAGCGAGAGAGAGAGGGAGAGATAGTGAGACTGGAGAGAGAGAGAGAGAGAGAGAGAGAGACTGGAGCGTGGGAGGGAGTTATGATCCTCGTCACAGGAATGCATGAATGGCATCTATTCCGGCCCCCAGACAGATGTGCTGTTCTCCTCACACACAAACCCTGACTATGAGGAGGAGTACAAGGCTCTCGTTCCTGAGCCAGAAACACCACATCCACTGTGTGTGTCGGAAGCAGACCAAGATGAGGAACGAGGAGAGTGTGTGAGTGAAGAACACACACATTAATGTGCTGAGAGGGCGGAGCTAAAGAGCCAGCATTCACAACAACACATGAGCGGCTCCTCAAAACCAACTCACGACAGAGACCAGCCACTATCACTATCACACACACTGTCACTACACACACACACCATCACTCACACTATCACACACACAGCATCACTCACACTATGAGATTTGTGGTTAAAATGTAAAAACAAATCCTTCCCTTGCAGGTCAGTTTGACCCCTTATGAATGAATGAATGTGCTTCAGTATACATAGAAAAACCTAAAAATGCTCAAAATTCAATCTAAAAATGCTAAAACTTTACCTAAAAATGATTGTATGTGTGTATCTGACTGCACTCTGTAAAGCACTGACTTCAGGAGCCAGAGGAACAGCTCGTTTGCTCCATATAGAGCTATAAGACTAGCCTGCTCCCACCACACTCGTGTACATTTCATTTGTTCAGAGAGTCTGGCCTCGCTCCATTGACCAGCGTTACCTTCGACAGTCACTCTGGAGCCACTCCTCCGTTCGCTGATTGGACCGGTAAAAACCAAAGAATACAGCACGAGCCCAGGCGTCGTACCGAAGGAAAATGAAAATTGAGCGGAAGTACGTAGGAGAGCGGAGCCAGGCGACTACAGTATAATCTCGAGTCATCAAATAATAAGAGGTTGGCAAAGACTCCCAATGTACGGTTAGATATTTTGAGCTGTTGTGCAATTCAAAGTTATGCATGAAATTGTGAGTTGTTTTTATTTTAAGTTGAAAGAATGTGAGGAATGTATTAACTTAATATTTATTTATTGATCAAATCTAGTAATTTAAAACTAAAATTTAAAAAAAAAAAAATCACAAAATAATTGCAGCCACATATTGTCACATATAAGGGATGGCAATCCATTAAAATCTTAATATTCTTTAATCAGATCATCATTCATATCCAAGAAAACGAAACATTAGGTCCACGACACAGTTACGAAACAGCCGTGTCCACCGAACAGACTCATTTAAACCGAGACCAATCAGGAATCTGTCTCAAAACTCAAGAAGGAAACGCACCTGAAACACACCGAAGCGTTGGCATACGAGCGAATCATCCGCACAATAACAGGGGAACTGATCCGGGTTTCTGGGTCGGGCAGAACGGATGGGTTCAGCTCGGGACTTACACAGCCACATCCATAACCCATTACTGAGAAAGAGCTTCAGTCGTGTCTGGGACGAGCGTCGTACGCTCCTCAAACTGCAGACGCACACAGGATCGTCTCGAATAACAAACACTCAGTCAGACGGCAGATGAAGAATGATTCACTCCATAGATGGTGATCACGGAGCGTGTGTGTGTGTGCTGTGTGTGATTGGATCAGACTGGATCGAGGACTGTTTTGAGCGACTGCTTCACGAACACACAGACATCTCCACTCAGCAACAACATCAATCTGATCACAGGCTCCATCACACTCCGATTCAGTGGCGTCGTCTGTGACGATGAAGACTGACATGAGGATTACAATCAACGTGGAGGTGAAGTGGAGTGTGTGTCAGTGGCACTGATGGGTTCATCAACATCAAACCCATCAAAAAAAAACACCAACCCATCAAACTCCTGCGGGACCGATAGAGCAGCTGCTAGAGGAACTGCAGAGACACAGATCCCTGAACCCGTCCAGCACATCCTCAAACACACCTTCAGCTCATCACACACACACTGCAACCCTGAAGAGACTTTAACACACAAACTGGTAATATAGAAGTGCACTAGATTGATGTGGAAGGAACATCTATAGAGGGGAAGAGTCCCGCGACCCCTCAGGAATATCTGGATAAAACTAGTGTAGCTGTCGGGCAGAAGCTTGGACATCACTACTATTGGCCACCCTCTACATCCGGCTGTGTGTTTAGCATATATTTAACCAACAAAAAGCTGACATTGACTAAACCTCATAACTCCATTGGCTCCTCTAACTGTCAGTCAAACCTCATAACTCCGCCCCCTCTATCATGAAGGATGTCCATGCAGGGTTTGGAGCATCTCTGATTGTTTGCAATGCAAGGGTAAATAAATAACGGGTTCTTTAACCCTTGTGCTGCATTAGGGACATATTTGGTCTTTTGCAGTTTAATTTCTTTGACCATTTTGGCTGTTTTAATGCAAATGCTATGAAATTTGGCAAAATTGTGACTTTTTGGATACATGTAAAAAATGTGATCCCATTTTGCAAAATATGTATAACACACACTGTGTAGATCAAATAGTAACACTCAGCACCATAAAGACCAAAAATGGCCCATTGAAACCCATTAAAACGTTGTTTAAATCTGAGGCTGTCAGTAATACATGAAACATGATTTTTGCACAAACATCCTTTCATTTTGAAGCAAAAGCATTATATTTGCATTATATAGTGTATTCCACCAGATGACGTCACTACATATTTATTCCCTATGGGTGGAAATGCACCTTATTTTAGGCAATAGGCAATGTTTAATAGGTGGCCATTTTTGGTCTCTAACGCGCTAAGTGGGATTTTTTGCAAAGTGGGACTGTGATCATCCAAATCTAAAGTTTTCTCTTTGCATTTAGTTTATTGAAAATAATAGAATTTTTGTGTTTTTTCCTCTTATACAAATCGATGGTTTCGCAAACAAAACTGGTAATTAAAGGGTTAAAATCCTGAAATTGAATACATTTTTGGTAGTTATGATGAGGACTGATGCTGGTTAAAAGATTTAACTTGGTAAAAGTGGAAAATAATAATAATATATAATATTTTAGGCAATGTTTAATATGTGGCCATTTTTGGTCCTTAATGCACTCAACGGTGATAAAAATCGAATGCAGCACAAGGGTTAAATAAGTATAGTGTTTTCCTTACTCAAATAACACTATTGATGCGTTCGAGTGGAGAAGAGCGTCTTGAGGCTGATTTATACTTCTGCGTCGTCGCCGCGTTGATGTGCAAATACACAGGCAGAGGGAGCATGCGAATCCCAAGGGAGGGGCTCTAACGGGCCAATCACAGCGCACATTGTTACGTCAGGGTGAACGCCACACCGCCATGATCAAAGATGAGCTTAAAGGGATAAAATGATCGACTTACACCTTAAAAATTGCAGTTGTTTTTTGCATATCTGGTTAGCAGCAGTTGTGGTGATATGAGGTTCTGGCGGCGGGACAGTGTGCTGGACAGGATGGGGAGCTTCGGGCCGTAAACACTTATTTTTCCTGCATTACAATATGAGTGGAATCAGCCCTGGATATAAAACCGAACAGGAACACAAACAGCAGACGACAGGGCCTCCGCACCGGACAGCAGGAACTCAGCAGTGTGGTTCGCTCTTCAGGAGCTCTGAGTGGCGTAAGACTCACTCGCTGCTGTGACGTTTACAGTGGGAGTTGTTCACTCGTTGCTGTTGTTTACTCTCGTCTCCTCAAAGCTGTGTTGGGTTTTCTCCTCAGCATAAAGCTTGAGAGCTCCATCTATCTTGCAGAGTTAGATTCTGGAGTGTAATATAGGCTATAATCTGTGTGTTTAAACTGCTTTTTTAATAATGCCAAGTGCTGGTGTTTCGTGTGCGTTCGGCCAATCAGAGAACACTACCGTCACTGTAGTTCCTAGAGCTTAGACGGACTCAGGAGGAGTAAATGAGTTCCTCCAAAAGGAGTTCCTAGTTCCTGCGGAGCGAACGCACCAACATCCGGGAACTTCCGCCAGTAGATCTAGGAGCGATGAAGAGGATCCTCTGGTGCAAAGCCACTATTCTTGTTCATCTTACACAAATTTAAAAAACAGACTTTGCATTGAGTGTGAATGCAGCTACTCTCCTGAGAAGCGTGAAAGACCGAACTGCAGATCTAACTTCGGTTGGTCTTATGCAGTTGGAATCAGCACGAGGCGAATCCCGGCTGTTATTTCCGATCATTCTTCCACAGCTTTTCCCTGGATCAGACCCGTACACAGCTTTCTGTGCACGATAACATCTGCAGGAGGGAGAGGGTTTAGCTTTCTGTCCTCCACTAGTGTGCTTTTCAGATCGATAGGAGAAGAGTCTCTGGAGCGCCTGAGCTCTGGGTATCAGTGACACCGCGCTGAAGGTCACAGACGACTAATCCTCATCTAATACACGAGATTCATGTTGTTTACAGAAGCACTGCTCACAATCCGGCTGCCACTGAGCTGGGAATTTACTCAACATTTATTTTTTGTTTGTCTAGTTGAGTTGGACTTGATGGCTGAGGAACCGGTCACTGTAACACACTGAACTATTAAAACTGCTTCCAGTGCCCACACTAACATCTGTAATGGGCAGTGATACGGGCTGAGTGTGTGTGTGTGTGTGTGTGTGTGTGTGTCAGCACATTCCCCCGCAGGTTCAGGTTTAGATGTGAATTATTCATTGGGTTATTCCGCCACGGGATCAGCATCAGACGTCTTCAACACACAGATATATGTGTTTAACTTTAACAATGTCATTTTGAGCAAATATCAGTTGCTGGATTCAAGGGTCAAAATGAAATGTTAAAAATGTTGCATTTAGGTAAAAATGTAGGGGAAATAATAAAGGAAGAAAAATAAAACGCACAACATTCACTTGGATAGCAGAAAAACTGAATCTACTTGAACTATCCTTGTGTGTATAAAGTGTATCATATGAAGAAGAGGTCATTAAAGAGGTCCTATCGTCCATTTATGGATTATATTTCCCCATGCGGCCCACACACACCCACACACACTGATAAGAATGCCGTTTCAGATGCTGAGCAGATTATTTAACTACAGATTTTCTCGAGAATAACATGCTCTGATAAATACACTAATTTATACACTACTGATTAACAGATTGGAGCTGGAAAGATTTTTATTGAAAGAAATTAATACTATTTTGATGCTAATTTGATGATTTGTCAAGGATCATGTGACACTGAAGACTGGAGTAATGATGCTGAAAATCAGCTTTGATCACAGGAATAAATTACACTTTACTAAATATTCACATAAAAAACAGATATATTAAATTGTAAGTCGGGCATGCGATCAGCTAAGGACAAAAAAGCCCAACCCCAGTAATTATTATAATACAAATATTTTATCAAATTAAAAAAAAAAAATCTTCTATCTTCTAGTATATATAATATAGTATATGTTATCTAAAATTAAAAAATCAAGTATTTTATAATCATGATAATAAAATATTATACTAGTCTATAATACAATATAAGTTATAAATTATATTATTATTTAATATTAAAAATTACTTATTAATAGAATTGTTATTATTAATATATATAACAATGTTAGAACAACAGTATAATTACAATACTACATTTGTCTTAATTTCTTTGCTTTCAGGGTTAATTTTTTTTCTTTTTCTCCTAACAAAACAAGAACCCTAGACACCATGTTCAATTTGGCTTTCTTCCGATCACCAAATCAAAATGTTAGGTCGATGGTCGTCCCTCACCTTCAAAACATACGTTCGTTCAGATCTGCATAACATTAGACAAGCATCTCCCTGCTTACCTAGCCCCGCAGGGCGTCTATTCATCTGGAAGCAGTGAGAGCTCTCCCTTTTCAGATGTGCGTGACCTCCCACTCCTGGGGTGGGGTCTCCCATCTGAATCGCCGTGTGGGCTCTTCCGTTCAGATGCATCATAGGCTCTCCCATTCGACTTGCTGTGTGGGCTCTACCATTTTGATTGATGAGTGAACTCCCTATTTATACATAAATAGAGCATAAACACATGCTCTCTCCTTCGAAACGCAGTGGGAGCTTTCCGTTCGGGCACGTGGGGGCTCTCCTTTCCGAATCACTGTGTGATCCTTCATGTTTTTTAACCATGGAGACTCTCCCGTTCGGATCGCAGTGTGGGCCCTCCTATCCGAAAATCAGGACTGGAGGTACCAAGGATTGTACGTCCCTCGAACGCGACGGGCCATTACGTCTTTATGTGATCTCCGCCCCCTGCGTCAGAAGGATGGTAGTTCTGCATGTCCTGTGTATACCGTAGGCTCCCTCTGGCTGCGTAGGGAGTTTCGCTTCAGATACTGGTGGCCCGTTTGCCTTGAGGGACGAGGACCTCCTTCTCCGTTTGTGACGTCTGGAAGCCCAATGTGCTCTAACTCCATAGGGCTCCATGTCATGATTGTGGCAGGGCGTTCTCAAACCTCCAGTGCCAAGATACTCCCGCAGGAGTCGTTTCTGAAAGTCACTGCCGCAGCAGTGCAGCGGTGAGATGTTCCCCAGTCAAATGTCCACAAGCCCATGTCGTTTCACTCCACAACAAACGCAGGTACACTCTTTCAAACATAGCTTCCGCCGGAGCTCCACGCATAGCCTCACATGGTGGGCATAGAAGCGAGACGCAGTCCAGGCAGGAGCCCCATTGAACATCACTGCCGCTGCCGCGTCCATCCATGATCCATACCGGTTTCAATTTCCACTCTTTTTGGGGGGGTTACATACTTTAAGCTCTTAGGCATCCTGTATTTCCTAAGTTCCTAAACTCAGCTTACATGCATGTTCTCAGATCCTCAGCGCTTTCTTATCAGTGTAGAGAGTGTGTGCGCAGGGTTGCCAGTTGCACAATATTAATTAAAACACTGGGAAGAAAATGTCTCCTTTAAAGAGAAAAGCTGTGATTGGGGGATTTTAGGCTCATAGACGATTATACAGCAGTCTTGTGTGCTCTTTTTTATCCTTGAGAAAAATAAAGGAAGACTTTGGTAGAAACTTAGAAAAGAAGAAATCTTTTTTTGTAACAATATTGCATGTGGACTTAGTCACGGGTATTGTTTAAAAATAACTTGGGCCTTTAGTCGAGGAAAAAAGGTTGTCGCTGAACATTTTTTGTCATAGTTTTCATTAACTAAACTAACCCTAATGCGCACAAGGAATTTTAGAGTCCGACTGAGATAACAGATTGAGAGGGACTATGCAGAGAGTATTGGTGTTACCTGTGTGAGCACATCCAGCTGTGAGATGATGTGCTGCAGGGTGTTGGTCAGTGCAGCGGGAACACGGTCCACCTCCGTCTGCGAGTCCGGTCCGGCTCTGCTGTCACTCCGGTGTGAGGATCGGCCAGCGGACACACCAGCGGCTTCCGACTCCTGCAGGAGAGATGCTAAACTGTTACTGACATCCATCTGATCCATCACGGCGCGCCCTTCCTTCTGACATACAAAATATGCTAAAAATTGGTCAGCCGGCTAGGTGTGCTGTGATTGGTCAGCTGGCTAAGTGTAGTGTGATTGATTGGCCCAATTCAGACCCTGAAAATGTTCACGAACCAGCAGCTCCTGCTGAATGTTTCAGTGGTATGTTTTTTTTTTTCCATCCAACATTTAATCATATTTGTTGTGAAACTATGTTAATACAAGCAGTAATCACAAAATCCTGGATAATTCCTAAGGGGCGGTGAACAGTCTAACAAAAGCTCCAAAAGTCTTACAGTAAACACTACATCAATACTGTAATGTTAGCAGGCTACTTCATTTACATCACAGCGATCATACAAACTACATAAAGCTTATAACTGGAACTGTTGATACACAACGAGAAATACTTTTGTGCGTAGAGCCTTCATTGTACTCTATTCTGGAAGCTGTTCTCAGTCAAATGTGCAGACGAACGCTGAGATTATAATATTCAGGAACAGTGAAATCATAATTAAGGGCTCTTTCAATGATCCGTCATCCTCCTTATTGTCGCTTAGTGACTTTTGCGTTCTTTGGCTACGGCAGTAATTGATTTACTTCTGGTCGCCGTTGCTGTTCAATCAGCAGCTGTTGCAAGTCCTAATTAAAAACACTGATGCGGTCACACGTGTTTCTGATGATGGTTGGAGGAATCATGAGATAGTTTAATGAAAGTGCTGAATGTAAAGGCCAGCTGTGTAGTTCACTCATGTTGCCCAGATACAGTGTTATGGACACAGATGAGACTAACAGCATATCTGACTGATCGCATCTACATCACAACTGCTCCATCAAGAACAGATTACACCAATAAAGACTGATAATTAAACTCAAGACGTGATGATTAAAGATACTTGTAAACACTTTTACCACCTGGAGCAGTGTGTGTCAGGGGTACAGTACACTCCTGACTGCTTCCCAGGGTTTGTCCTTGTATGAAAGCCTGATTGAAGCTCCATGATAGAAATCCATATGAAACTGAAACCACAGGCAGACTGAACTCTATAGCGTCTGTGTCCCAGCGCATTAGTATCGAGAGAAGGACAAGAGAACAGATCCTGTGAATCTGGCTGATACTGATGAGGAGGATTGACAAAGGAAGACCACGAGCGAAGAAGAGAAGTTCTCCGATCAATAATCACCCGCCAAAGCATGAAGTTCAGAGATCAGAAGCTTCAGGGAGACTCATCTGTTCAGAGCGTATGGAAACTCTTCTTCAACAGGTACAGATTTCAGTTAGAACCATGCCAAAAAAACACACATTTGGTCCAAGGGTTCAGCATCATGTCTGAGTTCTTCTGAAAGAGGCAAAAGGCAAATATAAACAGCCATTCGACTCGTTCGGAGAATAAAGACGGCATAAAGCGGCTCCTGGACACATCTGGCCAACAGGTGCCATTCGAGAGCCTCTCTCTGGGCCAACATAGGTCAATCTTTGCCTGTGTGACCCTGGTGATTTCAGGTCTGTTCAACACGGGCTGAAGTGATGGAGGAAGATAGCCTCTAAGATCCAAGTTGTCATAACAAAGACATTTTAAACAATGTCAACTTTGCATTAAAAGTGTCATAATTTACAGAATGAAACTTAATGACAACAGTCATAAACATTCATAAAGACTCCTTCATGTTCATGACAGTGTCACGTCAGTCTTACGCACACCCCTTCAAATAAAGTGTTAACCTTATCGCACCATTATCAGTTTGTAGCAGTAAATGATATCGATCCCAAGTTCAGTATGGCGTACCACAAGGCTCAGTAACTCTGCAACATGACATCATGACTTTTGCGTAAACATATACTGTACGCCACTTTCGAGTCAAGTGATGTATTATCTCTACGCATTTTGAGCTATCCGCGTGTCTCCGCGTGTATGCGTGTATGTCTACGCCATTAGCGTCCGAATTGACGCCAAAGTTCAGTTTTTTCAACTCGGGCGGCAGACGCAAATTCGCGTCAAAAGTGTGAATGCACAAATGGCACTAACTAAATCATTCGCTCGTATCGCGCTTAATGCGCCAGACGCTCAATTCGCGCAAATGAGGTGTATTCGCGTCTTCCGCGCTCCACAACTCATTCGAGGAATTTTTACGCGTGTAACACGTCTTTGCATTGACTTAACATTGAAATCGTTCGCGCCTGACGCGCTATTCGCATCCGGTGTGAACGCACCATCAGGCTCCATCGGGTCGGACGTGGAGCGTCGGTGCACAGCCATGTTCAGATCTCTCCAGAGATGCTCGAGTCTGGGCTCCGGCTGTGCTGAGGGTCCTGCTGGAAGATGAACCGTCGCCCCAGTCTGAGGTCCAGCGCTCTGGAGCAGCTTTAGTGTCTCTGTACATTCATCCTGACCAGTCTTGGAGCGATGGATGCTCTTCTGGAAGGTTCTCCTCGGTCCACGGAGAGCTCTGGCAGCAGTGACCGTCGGGTGCTCCGTCTCCTCCCTGACCGAGGCCCTTCTCTACCGATCGCTCAGCTCTAGGACGAGTCCCGCTGGCTCCACACTTCTTCCGGTTATGGATGATGGAGGCCGCTGTGCTCATGGGGACCTTCAACGCCGCAGTTTCTGCACTCTTCCCCAGATCCGAGCCTCGACACATCCGGTCTCGGAAGTCTACAGACAACGCCTTGGTTTGTGCTCTGACATGCACTGCTGACTGCAGGACCGTATGCAGACAGGTGTGTGTCTTCCCAAATCATGTCCAATCCACTGAATTTACCACAGGTCCAGTCGTAGAAGGACGATCAGTGGAAACTGGACGCACCTGAGCTCCAGATTGGGTCTCATGGTAAGGGCTGTGAACACTTGCGTACACAAACTTGCAAAGATTTCAAACAAACCTTTCAAAATGTTTAGGAAAACACTGAACTGAATCCATGTTGGAATAAGGCTGTAACACACTGTGGGAAAGTGAAGCGCTGTGAACGCTCTCCGGACGCCCGTAGGCGCTGCTTTAGACGTAACTTTAAAACACCTGATTACAGAATGCACATAAATACATGAGATCAAACTTATTTTACCATCAACTTTACCAAGCAAACATATTGCAAACAATTACATGATGTCTGAGCTGAGGCAGATCTCGTTAAGGAAGAGCCGACGAGACGCTGAGAGCTTACGCCGAGCAAACAGGCTTCCAGAGAGCAGGATTAACTCTTGTTGAGAGGTGGACTTATTCACAGCTCAGCAGTTAAACAGCTGCTCAAACACACACACACACACACACACACACACACACCCTTTAACACCCTCACCATGAATCACCTGGACTGGAAAAACCAACAGTGGAAAATTTCCTGAGGCCTCAGAGAAACTCTGGTCTGACGGATCCATCAAGAGCTGCTTCCTCTGATCTAGTGTGGTGAGATTAATCTGTGCGTGAGCGATGAAGGAAAACGGCCGTCTTTAATGTTTTCACACTGACAAATGCTCTGATTTTCAAAGACTTTCTGCTCATTAATGAGGATATTTGGGGAAGTAGGCCTTAATAAATTCATAAAGGGAAAATGTCTGCAGATTCCTTCCCATCGGACAGTTTCTGCATTTATCATAATGATGTACGATGATTTATTAACCATTCAATAAACAATGGTACTTCCGCATCTACTTTGACTTCTGACATGTACTGAACTCAGCAGTTTAAATAGATGTACACCTGTATATTAGCTTAGGCTTTGAGGATGGTGAGAGAGCTTCGAGATCTTCTGTTCCTGTTTGAGTTGGGTTGGTTTTGTTTTTCTTTGCTATGATCTGACTCTGAGCTTAGTGGAAATGGTAGTTGTGTTGAAATTGGTTTCCTGTTCTATATGTTTTTCTATTTATGTTAATAAATACACTTACAAGCACATATGTCCCTATATCCTCCGCTCATTTGTCACGGCTTTGAGCCGGTCGTGAAAAAAACGGATCAAACGAATTAGCCGCTAATTCAGCTAAATGTGAAATAATTATGAACTATGATGAGATAGTGTTGATGACTCCTATGAAAGGGTTTTTCATTTCAGAGGGGAGGTGGAGGTCCTATTTATTAGGGGTGTAACGATTCACTCGTTTTCTCAATGCATCGATTACAAATCCTGACGATCCATATGCATCGATCCTGAAACATGTATTTTGAATCGTAAATCGTTTATTTACGTGAATAATCGATTTAAATGGATAAGAATTTAATTAAATAAAATTAAATTCTATAGCAATTCAGTGGTTTAAAATATATAAACACAACCGACGTGCGTCTGTGGAGGGAAACGCCCGCTTTGCGCGCGTGCAAAATAGGAATGATAATTGCGTGTGTGTGTATAAAGTCATTTGCGCCTGGTGCAAGATAGGGCCCATAATGTTAAAACATAATGTTATTGTTGTTATTGTTTCTTTGTCCCCACTATCTGACCCCGAAGGCCGCTGTGTAATTCAGACCCATTTGGGGAGCATTGAAATAATACTCTAATGCATATAAAAAAATAAGAATCGAATCGAATTTGGATGTGAATCGCCTTGAATTGGATCGTTCTGAATTTGCACAAATCGTTCTTGAATCGAATAGAAAATCTATGAATCGTGAATCGATTCGCTGTCTACCCAAAGATTCACAGTCCTACTATTTAGACATGAAAAATGCAATTATATTACCTGTACATTTGAACATTTCAATCTTTACACGTTTTATGGTATAATATTATTAATCAGTTTAACAAAGAAGAGCGCCTCACAAACACTACGTGTTGCGCTGCTGAGCTGAATCAAGACAACCCTCACACACACACACACTGAACTGCTGTGGAGGACTCATTTAAACTGCTCTTCAGAGATAATGTAAAGACTTCATCAGAAAAGCTCTCCAGCATCGTGTGAGCGCAGATCCTTCACCTGATGTGTGTATCAAATGCATTTCAGTCATTAAAAGTGCCTCAAGTC